CAGAGAAAGTAACTCGAAAGCAGGTTTTCAGCAACATCACCGCACTGATTCAAAACAATGAGGAATAAAGTTTAGAGAGATAACAAAGTATTAACCAAGAATTACAGTTGTGCAACACCATGAGAAATGCAGGTGGGAACAGAAAGGATTCTGGGAAATTCTGCTTCAGATAGTGCTTAGGAAACTTCTTTCCCAGGCCTTGATCCCCCATACTGAAAACTTGGGCTGAGTTAACCAGGGATGAGTTAATGGAGTGCCATGTGGTGACAGATGGATGCCTTTCTCTGTGGCTGGAACTTGGAAAAAGAGGAATTAATATATTAATGCTCTTCTTTGTGTGCGTGAAGTCTCACGGTGACGTATGTAATGAACTCTTCCTGTAAAGTGAGGCAGGAAGACTCATTATAAAGGTGTCCTTAGGAGCAGCTGGTGGGGGGGGCAGCGTGGGGCTTGATAATGAGGTCCTGGTGACAGGTGTGGAAGCAGGCCACAGCCAGAGCAGCCCTGTGCCGCATGGAAATCCAACCTGTGTGATGGGGGCGGGGCGCCTCTGTCCAGGCAGAGCCTATACCTGTGCGGAATTCTTGATCAAGCTCTAAGTGCCTTTGAGCCTTTATCGAAGTCTTACTGAACATCTTCCTTGTGCAGGGTATGAGTTAGAACCTCAGCCGTCTCACAGCCTCTCCTGGCAATGATCAGATTTAAACATAAATGTGTGACACATTAAAATCTTCCTGAAAGATCTCGCCCATGTTTGTGTGCCATTTAACGGTGCTCACGCGCCCTTAGAGGACAGGGACATGACAATAGAAATTCTGTGTCCTGAGACAAGGTGAGGGGACCCATCGCTTTCAACTTCCCAGAGTCATGAGAGGTCAGCAATTTGCTTTCTAGGAGGAAGATGCCAACAGGGTTTGCCAGTGGCCAGCTGTGAGCAAGACTCTGTCCCTGGCTCCACAGCCTCGGTTTTGCCATCTGTGAAGCAGCCACTTTCGATGGTAGCCCAGCACTCAGGAAGTGGCCCATTCAGAGCTCTGGTCACTGCCCATTCCCCTTCCCTTGGTCAAGCTGATGACTGGTTGAAAGGGAACAGGGAAGGCTGGACCCATCACGGCTGTCCCTGGTTCCTGAGTTGGCCCGGGCTGTGCAGGCCACTGGGGAAGCTGCTGATCTATGGGCCACCCAACATCTTCTGACCTTCACTGAACGTGGAGAAGCTTCATGCCTGGGCAGAGGGGAGTGTGGAACACATGCCAGTCATGAGCAGACCTGTCCGGGCTGCTCCCTGAGCATCTCACCATCAACACACACCGAGTCTGAGGAGGTGGCAGACATGAACAGGTAGGACTCAATGTGCCGCCATGCTCCTTCCCAGCCTCCCAAGCCTCATGGACATCTCAACCCCTGTAGACGCTACTTTCTATGTGAATCAATGTTTGCATTTAAGTGAACCACCATAACCCAGCAGTGTGTGTGGCACTGGAGCTGGGCGGCCACTGACGTTGGTTTTCTTTTCATTTCAGTCTTTACCTTTTCCCTCAGGCTTCCCTGCCGCATTTAGAGCGGCCCCTGAGTGAGGCCCACCAATTGGCAGACTCTGGGGCTCTGCTGGACAGTTAATGCAGCTCCTTACTCACCAAGCCTTTGTCCTCAGTAATAATGAAAAATCAAAGACCAGATAACCACTTGGCAGAGACAGGGGCTGCAGTTTCCCAGGAAGTGTCGAGAGCATGTGAGGTGCAGCTCTGTCCAAGGCACTTCTGTGAAGTTTGTGTGCTCGGGCTGTGGCACAAGAATTAAAGTGGGAAAATGAAAAGCCGGTCTCGTTCAAATGGCTGGGGAAGAGAGACTCAGGCAAGTTGTGAGGAAATAATTCCTTATGGTGGTGATCAGTCAGGTCTGAACTGTGTGCAATATGCAAAATGTGTTGTTTAAGAAAGGACAGAAAATAGCACTCTGTGTGTGTGTGTGTGTGTGTGTGTGTTTTGTGTGTTTCTTAATACAGGGTCTGACTATGCAGTCCAGGCTGGTCTTGAACTTGAAACCATCTCGCCTTAACCTTCCTTCAGGGTGCTGAGATTATAGTGTGTCACCACACCTGGCTCTGCAGCTTTTCTTAACAAGAGAGTAAAGATTTATTTTATCTCCGTTGCAATTTGTCTAAGTTTGGTAAGAGGTAAGGACAAAAAAACTTAACATTACAAAACCAGACCTCTTTGTACATAAATTAGTTGATCCTGTAATGTGGGTTAAAGAATATTTTCCCAGAACTTGTTCATATGAACTTGCAGCAGTGGTGACAGTATGCAAATGACCCATGCAGACTCCATCAGATAGAAACCCAGCATAGAACTGGGGAAATGGGCAGCAGGCCCCATCCTTAGCTGAGGAACTATTGGCAACTGATTACAGCTGGGTGAGGGAGAGCTGATCTTTAAGGGAGAGACTATAGACTATACTAGACTGACTCCAGTGGATGAACTTGCACTGACATCTGGGTACACAAACAACCCTGTAGACCTGAACATATATGACAGAATGCATAAAATTTGGGGGGGTATGGGGGGTATCGATGGGGGAGTGGGTCTAAATATGATTAAGATGCATTGTATGAAAAGCACAAAAATTCAATAAAAATATACATTAAGAATCTATTTTTTGTGTGTGTGTGTGATAATAAATTTTATTTAATTCCATGTATCCCAAACAATAGGATTTTTTAATTATTTATTTAATAACCACATACTTAGAAGAAGCACTTCATTACAACAGCATTGACATATTCACTAAAAATTTAGAAGAAGCATTTCATTACAACAGCATTAACCTATTCAATAACATTTTTCTGAGCTAGGGTACATCTCTTTCAAATTGGCTGTACATTTTTAGGTTTACAGATGAATTATTATGCTTGTACAATCTTTTACTCATTATAAACCCTACAAGACATAAAATTAAATGAGGTTTTAACATTTAAAAAAATCTCCATTTCGTTATTAAAATATACAGTTTCATACAGAAAAATTCATTATTAATGCAATTGACACTAAGATGCACATGCGTTTCTAATCTCTATATATCTGATTATTACTAGTTACAGTCAGTTACTTTCTGAGCTACTTGGCATCTGAGCATGGATATAATGTCATCAGGTAGATTTCAATGGTAGTGTTCTTTACATCTACTAATTATTAAAGAGCAAATTTTATGCTTTGAAAAATTGTTACTATTTTTTTAATCATTATTTTTAAAAAAATTTTAATTACATGATTTGAAGAAGCATTTCAACACAGCTTTAACATATTCAGTAACACACTCTAGAGCAAGAGTACATTGCTTTCACAAGTGGCTGCAAGTTTCTAGGTTCACAGTTGAATTAATAGTTATACAATATTGAACTCAGTATAAGCCTTGTAAGACATAAAATTGAATAAGTTTTTAACCTTTAAAAAAGATCTCCATTTCATTTTAAAATATACTGTTTCATACAGAAAGACTCATTGTTTCTGGTACTAA